TTTTTTTTTTGGTTTTTTTTTTTTTCACGCTTACTTTCCTTACTTTTTTGTTCTATTTCACCAGTGTTCTACTCAGATTTGTGAATAATAAAAGTTTTTTTTAGTTGATGAAAAGAATTGTTTGCATATATATATGATATAATAATATTATTATTACTTCTTTAGGATTATGTTTGCCTGTTGTATAATATAGAAGATTTCATTGGACGTTTGACTGTATTCTTGCTGAATTTAGATTTCTTTTATTCCACAAAACTATGGCTGTACAACTTTGGTAAGCAGAAATTTTGCCGTTTAAATCTAACTCTAAATGTAGTTTCCATCCTTTTATTTTTTAAACATTTTCCTTCCGTTTTTTTTTTTTGTTTTTCAATTTTTTTTGTGGCTCGTTTTAAGTAGAGGTTGGTATGGTTTTATAATATTCTAAATATATTTGAATTATGAAATTCAATGTTTGATTAACGCACAGAATAAATACCTTCATGTTTTTTTTTGAGACTGATATGGCTGTGTGATTATTATAGATACGTAACTGCGAAGCGAGTTAATTGATTTCTTAGAATCATTGTGAAGTTATTTAAGCTTTGCTTATTTGGCTTACAGGTTTTTTAATACTATAATTTTTTATGAATTAACCTCAGTTCTGTCAACCTGGAATACCCAGTTTTCTGTATAAGAGTCATCATAAGCTGAGTTCACGCTAGTACAGTATTTACTAGATAAATCTTTTTTTAATCTTTATTGGGCTGAGAAACATGAATAGTTATTTGTTTTTATGACTTTTTTGACATTAAGAACGAACTTGAGGATGCTAGTTGGCGGAGTATAAAGCATTGTCCAGCTCTTTTAGATAATATGTTGATGAGAAGAACCACTTTTCAGCACTTGTTTAAGTGAATTACAGTCAGATCAAGTATCTAGAATTAAAATGTTAAACAGGTGTTTTGGGTTTCCAGAAGGCACCTTGAATTATAAACTTGCTTTGTTGCGGTCTTTGCAAAAAATTGTTTTTGTTTTTCAAGACCCTAGCATAGATCACCATCCGTTAAAACCGCTTTTTCTTTCTTGAAGTTTGGAAAGTACAGCGGTATTTGTTTTTTTGATTACTGAAGTCAAACTGAATTCTTCTTCTGCCTTAACTTTTTGTTGATGTTAGGTTTTTAGATTTATTGTTTTTTTAATGTTTCAATAACTGTTACAACCATGGATGATTGATCTTAAATACAAACTGCAAGCGTTGTTCTTCAAAAGTTATACATTTGGAGAAATTTAGAACTCTTTTTAGCATGCATTCTATAATGGAGACGAGCAAGCCGATCCTGCAGAAGGCAGTTCAGTTAGATACAGAGGGCGACCCAGAAGGAGCTATAAAGCACTATGCTGAAGGGGTTTCTATACTTATGAAGTGCCTATCATGTTAGTTTTGCTTTTATAAGAAATGCTTGTTGTACTTCTAGGTTTTTGTTGAAATTAAGTTGTCTTTTTGCTGGTCTTCCAGGATGCTATTAAATTTCTACGGAAGGAATATGATTAGATACTTAACTACCAAGTGATTTTGTGCAGGTGTTCAAATTAAACTGAGTTTCAGTCTTGTTTAGGTGATGATGCCAGTCCTTCCCAATTGGTATCAGTGAGGGAAACAATTGGCAAGTATTTGTCAAGGGCTGAAACTCTCAAAAATCGTATGCCAGTTGTACTCGTTGAGCGAATACAGATCAAGTCTGACTCGGTAATCTGCTAATTAAGAACGAATTTTAGTTTGAGTCATTTCTCATGTTTAACTTAAATTCTTGTCTCTCCATTCTTACTTGGACTTTCTACAGGGAATTTCTAAACATTACAGAAGGGGTATGGTTACGATAAGATCTTTTCAAAATGCTTTGATAACTCAGTAACAGAAGTCTTTGTGCAAGATGGTTACATCAGATTGCACCACCAGGTCTTTTTTCAGAAACCGTTGTTATTAGATTTTTTATTAAATTTATTTGTGACTTTCTGTTTGGTTTAAAAATTGTGAGTATTGAAAAATTTATTTCATTTACTTTAATTTAAGATCGTAAATTTTGTGAAATTTTGCGAGTTATGTGTGATGAAAGCAACGAATTTGAAAAAAATTGAACTGAGAACGCAGAAGGGTGATGGATCTAATGAAGTTCCACTTATGGAGTTAAAACAGAGTTTTGAAGAAAAAAACGTAATTTTCAGCTTTTATTATGACGAAAACTTGCACGACCGTGAAATTAGGTATTGTTTTGAGCTCTGCCTAATGTTCTTCTTTTTCTGTGCTATTGATAAACTTTTTTTCTTGTTGAATATCGCTCCTTCGGATTAAAGTTGTCCTCTTCAGGTTTAACAATGGTTGGATTGTTAAAATTGGTCGAGGCCTCGACTATTTTAAGAAGAGTAATAGATTTGCTTTAGGTTCTTATGAGTTGAATTTGAGAAAGTGTTTGGAGACTACGGTTGATTTGTTTCAAGTTAAAAAGTAATTTTGTTGGCACGTTTTTATATCAATTGTTTGCTTAATTTCACTTTATCGTATTTTGATCTGAAAGAAGAGTTGTATGAGTGCTCCTGCGGCAAAAGCGGATTGATTTTTGGGAACCTGTACTGTAATGTGCGGCAGAATTTTTTTAAAACCGTTTACTTTAAGCCGTTCCGGGAAAAGTTGAGTCACTTTTTTTTTTAGTGAAGTATTTGGAGTGTAATATTATTTTGACGTTTCAAAAACTGGAGTGAAATTACTCTCTTCTCAGATCAGTGTGAAATACTGTGTGGTAGAATTGATCATCTTTGAAGTACTTAATTTTAAAATAGTTAAAAGTAGGGTTGGGAGATACGGACACTGCAACAGATTTATACCAAGGCTTTGTCAAAATACATTTCAAAGTTGTCGATTTTGTGCAGGAGCTCAGAGGTAGCTTGAATTTTTTTTCATTACTTGGCGGATAACCTCTAAGGAGGGATAAAAGAGGATTTTACATTTGATGTGTACCTTCTAAATGAGGAGTTTTATTTATTCGAGATGTACATTGAGTTAGTTACATTTGCTACTTTGTCTTTCTTGTTGGAGGTTTTTTGCTGCAGTTGTACCATTTATTGGTTGCTTAAGTGCAATATTTCAAATTTACCTTTAGTATGTGCAGTCTGTGTACTGCATTTGTAGGAGCTGATTGTTCTGGAAAAATCGTTATTTTTTTTTTCATAATATACTGCTTATTCTGTATATTGTTTAACAAGTTCGTGGTACTTGAAATTTATTTTTAATTGTGTTCTAATTTGATATTTGGATTGGCAAAAGTATTTGTATTCAAAGTCACAATAAATGTTCTGCCTGTTTTAGGTATGGCAGCTTAATCGTGTTATTCATTCACTGACTGTATTCGCTATGCAGATTCATACTTTTTTCAGTTTTTTTGCCGTTCCTTTTAGTGTTCTGAGGCAGATATAGCGTTTGAGTTCCGTAAGTATTGTGTCTTTAGTAAGCTACTGTTTGGGTCGAGTAGGGCACTGGAAGGTTGGTTTCTAATATTAAGAAAGAGCGTCATTTGCTTGTAACTGTTGGCTTTGATTAGTTTTGGACAGGTGCTGGTAAGGCTTAGTTCTCTCCCTAATTGTGTTGAGGCTGGATTTTGTTAGCTGTTTATAAGGGTTGGATGTGGTATTGTGGGGCTGGTTTTGTTTATTCGGGGAGTGAATGAAGGATGCCATAAGGGTTTGGTGTTGGTTGTTTTATTGCCGTTATGCTACTTGTAAGTGCTTTTTCTGAGCACTGATTTTACAGTGTAATGTCTTGGATGAGGAAACAATAGATTTTTTGGCTCTAAGAGAAGCTCTGCTCAATTTCTGTAGATTTCCACTTCTTTTCTCTTGTTTTCACTGTTAGTATATTTTAACGCTCGGACGGCTGCTGCTTGAAACCGGCTTGGCTACAGACAAAATTTTAACTGTGGTGGGATATCAAGCTGAAGAAGATTGGCAGCTGTAGCATTCCAAGTAGAACTGATTGTGGTTGTGAGAAATCAATTATACAATTCATGTATCATTAGTTTATTTATTGAGTGCTCTAATGATTGTTAGGAACTATTTGTTCTTCGGAAATGATTATAATTCTGTTTAGCATGTCATAACATTGTGTAATTTTATGACTTAGGTTTAGGTTTGAGAACTTTAATATCGTTATGCCCAGTGAACGCCAAATTGCGGAAGCTGTGAGGCAGCAGGCTACAGAAGCGGTGAACTCAAGTTCTGTTAAGCAGCAGGTTTAGTGTTTTCATTGTCGGCATAATTATACCTCTTCAGTTGTTTGTAAAGAATTGGCTATAAAGGGTTTCCTAATAAATCAGGTTTTTCTAGATATCTTCTTTTCATCTGTGTTACACTTGAATTGATTTCTTTACAGTTGGAAGCTTACAAAGAAAAACTGATCGAGGAAGCAGAAAAATTGGTTTTAGAAGAATTTCCAAAGAAGGTTATAGAATTTAACGCTTTACTTGAGGTGAGGGTCTTGTTGTTTTTTTTCTCTCTGATTGATTTGCGTTTATATGTGCTATATTTTTTTATGTATCCAACCTTCAGAATGGTCAGTTCTCTTATGATCGTCTGCCCGAACTTTTGCCCGATACGGATATGAACATACCGCGACCGATGGAAATATACGAGTCTCTTGTAATATTTTAAATTTATAGAGCTATTTTTGCATTATTAATTTTGGCTGAAGCAGCGCTGATTTGCCCCA